TTAGTTTCGTATTGATTGTTGGTTCTACGTCATAATGCGGACGTGTCTAGGACACAACTCTTTAATTTTTTTAGAATATAAAACAGGCATTAAATTCAACTGTCACACCCAAGGTTTTGTTTACTGAACGAACTGCACGAAAAAGTTAGGTAAAAATTGAACTTCGTATATTGAAATAAAGACATCTGTCTTATAAAACGAACAGTCCTTATTCTCTATTTTTCAAGCTAAAAACTACAAGGGACAGCCCTATGTGGTTGTACGCAATGGTGACGTAGGACTAAGTGGTATTATATAATAAATCCGGAGTGATTTGAGATTTGGGCGTAATTGCTTTAGTAAACAAACATGTCAATCGCCGATTTCTCGTGAATAAAACCTTAATCAACAAGCTATGCCAAATGAAAGAAGAATAATTTCTTCACCTCATAATGTTATTTGTTTTCAAAATTGAGCTTTCATTCACGCGAAATCGGCGATTGACGTGTTTGTTTACAAATGCAATTACGCCCAAATCTCAAATCACTCCGGAAATGTTATTTGTTAACTGCCACATTGTGATTTGTGTAGGAATAGAAATTTGAGCGGGTTTCTCCCTGTGTATACTAAAGGGTGTCCACGATGAAATTGCCACACACAAAATTGATTCGCAAAATTCGAGTTTTCATCCGATTGCCATCAAATTTTCAGGGATTGAGAAATAACTATTAAACTTCATTTTACCATTTTACTCGTATTTTATTTACAGTCCATACGCAAATGCCCGCACCTTGGCCTTAACCCCGGCCATAAGATTCTGCACAACCTGTGAATCAACCGTTTTTTGCATGTAAACCCATACTTTCTTCAGTTCCTCGACTGTCTTCACTACCTTAGGTCGTTTAAGAAGGTGCTGCTTCATAATCGCCCAGTACTTCTCGATGAGGCGGAGCTCCGGAGTGTTGGGAGGGTTGAACATTTTCGGCACAAAATTGACCTTATTGTCCGCATACCACTTCAGCACGTCCTTGGAGTAGTGGCATGAGGCCAAATCCGGCCAGAAGATTGTTGGGACGTTGTGGGCCTTCAGGAGAGGAAGCAGCCGCTTCTGGAGGCACTCTTTTATGTACACCTGTCCGTTCATCGTGTCCTGGGTCACGAAAGGTGCACTCCGCTTCCCGCACGTGCAGATGGCTTGCCAAACCAGGAATTTCTTCGCAAATTTGGACATCTTCTGAGTGCGGACATGCTCCGGAACGCTGAACTTATCCTTGGCCGTGAAAAACAGGTTGCCGGGGATCTGTTTGAAGTCGGCCTTCACATATGTTTCGTCGTCCATGATGCAGCATTCAACTTTCGTCAGCATGTTGAGGTACAACTTCCTGGCACGGGTTTTGGCGGACTTGTTCTGCTTCTCGTCGCGATTAGGGGCCTTTTGTACCTTGAACGTTCGAAGCCCAGCCTTAGTTTTGGCCTTCTGGACAAAACTTTGGCTTAGGTGCAGCTTCTTAGCCACATCCCTAACGGAGGCGTTCGGATTTCGATTGAAGGCCCCAACTACGCGGTTGTGATTTTTGGTGTTGTACGGAATACTTTTTCCTTCACTTCTGGGCTTCCGATCGGTGGTCAACCGTTCCTCGAACCGCTTAATCACTCGCGACACCGTGGAATTCGCGATTCCCAACGTTTTAGCGATGGAACGATGCGAGAGATCCTTGTTCTCGTGATGAATGCGCAAGATTTTATCACGCACGAGCTGTTCTTTCGCATCCATTTCCGCGAGTTTTGATCACAGGACTTTAAAACTTGCAGGATGTAAATAATGCACTATGAACTAAATCCACCCAAATTTTCATTAAATTCTACCCAACGGTTAAAAAGTTAGAGCAATTTCATAGTGTGGCAATTTCATCGTGGACACCCTTTATTTAGTGTGATTGCCCTGAAAAGAACCTTTGGATATAAATTTTAGCTGGGACATGTTCAGAAATTTAACTCTTTTGGAAAATCTTGGTGGCCCTGAAAAGGGCCGATGGTAGTACAGGCTTAAAGCCTTTGGAAGATGATGATGACGTGTAGGCAGCTGGATCAGCAAATCGGACTGGACAATCGCATATTCTTCGGTTCAATGATTGGGCCCTCGCAAGACTGTCGGCCCGTCTGCTGCTGGACAGGGGTTGAACTAGTGGCTGCAACAGGTTGGAAGGCCGCAGAATATCAGTGTCCACCCAGCTAAAGCTAAACAATTTATGATCCTGTTTCACGTCATGGTTCTTCTCTAAGTCTGTTCAGATAAATTAGTACTTTTATTTATTTTCTCTACTGCGCTAAATCAAACGAGTAGAAATAAGAAGGGATGTCGGTTACGCGCTCGAATAATTGAAAATTCGATAAACATTTAATCGAATAGCTGAAAATGTCGTACAGCAGAATTGTAACCAGCAAGTGTAACCCAAGAACCAAAAGCGGTGCGATGCTAGTTTCCATTGTTATGACGACTACTTAATTAAGGGTCTTAGAAGCAGAGGGGTGAAAGTCAATTCTCTTCATCGATTTTCTCTTTTGATGACCATGGCTTCCCTAACCTGTTTTGCACTATTTCTGTTATGCTCTTCTATCATCCAGAACAACAAACAATGAATGTGTTTGTCGTCGAGTTATTAAAGAAACAGAAAGTCAATGAAGAGAATCGATCAAAATCACTTGCACTCCTGCTTCCAAGTTTGGTTACAAGATTACAACTCTGGAGAGCATTTTGTGTGGTCGTTCTGAATATGGCAATGAGTGTGCAAAATATTACGCAATTGCATTATCCCTATTCGCACACATCCGAAGATTGGAGGCGAATGCCACTTCGACTTGTTTCATTTACTAACGCCTCTCTAATGACAGTATTGGGGAAGCAGCATATGCATGCACGCAATTGGTGGATTTGTTAGTTATTCCAACGCTTTTGGACAATGCTTGACATTTACCACTTTTTCAATAGTTTCTTGTTTCAATATTTCTGATCGACAGGTGTTAAAATTATTGACATTGGTCCGGGGGCAGCTGAGTTACTAACGTTCAAAATCTTTCATAATTACGTTACATGTTCCATTTTCGATGTTCACAAATTGTACCCCCATAGAAATCACAGAGGTAGTTCTACGTCAAAAAATCATCCAGAAATGGGAAGTCGTGAAATGGGATCAATTTTCAGGACATTAAAATTCGGAAGCGGTTTTCTCGATATGGTTATTTTCAGCCCTTTTCAAATATGAGTCTAGAAATTATGTTTTTTTTTCTACTTTTTCATGTTTATTGAGTAGTTTGTGAACTGTTCTCTCTATACTTGGCAAAATATAGTTTGTTAACATTTAGGCTCTTCCGCCCTTTTCAAATGTTAGTCAAGATATGTGGTAGGCCCCAAGTCTAGCGTGACTGACAAAAGAAATGCCACTCGATTAGCTCATATACCGTCTACCTGCAGAGACAACTCTAAATAGCGATGTTCTGAATCCGGTAGCTTAGTACCCTTCGTCGATCTTCCTAGCGAAATGAATAGTTATATCCTAAAACAAACTTACAAAACAATCCTCCATTGTAATTCTGTTCCTCCCTTTAACAATGAATAATTCCTCAGAAGAAAAAAATCGCCCAGGTTAACGCACCCGTATTTGACAACAGTGATGACTGCAGATAATGAGCGATTATACTAGGCTATCTACTTTGCCTGGTTGTGAGTCCTACCAAAGAAACCATCAATCATGCAAAGAAAAACATCATGTCATCTCCATGTTGTACTGTGTTAACAGTAACACGATGCGTTGCGATTACCTACGCTTCATCGATTTTTGTTTTATTTTGGTCTTGTATATGCACGGAAAAAACAACTACCCAACGGTTGTCAAAAAAGGGAGAGGTAAACCACCCAATAGGGGTCTTCAGATGCGGGAAGTTAACGTTATGTAAGTGATGCACAACTTAATATTGAGTAGTTTAAAGTTGACGTTGGGTGAAAACAACTTAGTAGTAAGTAGTTTGTTTACCTGTGCGCGAAAAAAACAACTACTTCAAGCCTTTGAATTGAAAATTAACTTCCCGCACGCAACCTTTGACCTGGGTGAATGGAACTCAATATTAGGTACCTTTTCGTTGTTCCGTGTAGGTATATCAAGGACCACCTTTATTAGACTTTATGCCTTATTCTATCACGCTTGCCCGAACCCGTGCTCGGTCTATTGTTGTACATTGTGGAATTTTGGACCGATTCTGTCGCGCTCCACGAAGTGGAGTGGTTACGTGCGCTATTATCCAAAGATTAAAATTTATTTATACACTCCGGGGGCACCACAAGCACTTTTTGTATCCACTGAGCCGTAACAAGTCTCGTCCGTCCTACGTCATCTCATCCTGCTGCTGTGTCATTGTTAGCCTAAACTACATCCCTCCCTACCGATAGGACGATGGCAGTTAGCAGTGTGTCCTGATATGCTAGCTCACCCCATCAACCACCGGTATGTGGTGGGCGGTGGAATAATGTATGGCGGAATCTGAGTGCACATACATCAACACATGTGTTGAACGAAAGAAGCGCCTCAACCTCTCCAGATACGCCAGTGTGAGGGTTTTTCCACTTTTCAACGCCCACGCTTGGGTCGCACAGTGAATTTGGGACATTATGGGGTGTTGACTTTGGGTGGTTTGGTGGTTTGATGGTTAGATATATCCATTTCAACGCCTTCTATTCGCGCTAAACCAATCAATTAACTGTTTGGCTTTGACCTCCATTTGTTGTCCTGCTATTGAGTGACGTAGAACGCCCACAAACCGTTAATATTAATTATTTATTGGTGTTTCGTTCGGTTTCATGGTGAGCGAAGGAACGTTGACAATGTTCTGCCTAATCAATGTGAATTGCCTAGGCGAAAGGAGTGATTATATCATCCAACTAATGAACTGTTAATCCGAACTCAATTTACATATCGTTTGACGCAATGATTGATTGATGTCCTTTCGTTTTTATTTTTATTTTCCAGGCATACGAACGCCGCTTCCCTATTTGCCCCCAGATGCCAATCGTGCTGGACTGTGAAGTCATCGAAGATGCAGTCATAGACAACGGAGCCAAGCGGGAAACGAAACGACGCTGCAAGTTGGCCGTTGATGCGCCCTATCTGTTCAAGAAGATCATCGGCATCGACGTGGCTTACTTCCTTCAGATGAACTTCCTGGACATGAAGGCCCGAACTCTGAACATCGAAGCTACCAACGAAACGTTTTCGTCGAGAATTGAAATATTCGAAAAATGCCGCTACTATGCCCATCCGGAAAACCCTGACTGGACCTGCTTCGATCAGACGGCGACGTTGGATATTAAGAATTTCTTCGGCTTCGAACACTCGATGGAAAAGATGGGCATGAAGCAGTACTCGCAAACCACGCAAAAGGGCAAGGAAATTATCGAATTCTTCATCAACGAACTGAAAAAAGAAGGAATCACGCATGTGGATAGGTGAGTGACTTCGAGTACGAGTTTCGTAAACACTAATCTAACGATTTTTATTCTATGCAGATGGAAGGAAAGCGAAACTACGGAGCCCGCGGCTACCAGTACAACGACAGTATCAATTTCCAGCGAAAAACCGCCCCTTACCCGTGATAACAGCATACTGGACGCGGACTACATTGCCACGTACTTGGGCCAGTTGTCACCGCTGCAGGAATCCCAGCTGGTTCAATTCCGGAAAAAGATCGAAGAAACCAATCACGAACGCAAAGTGCCAGACTATCAAACATTGCTGCGATTCCTGAGAGCACGTGACTTCAGTATCGACAAGGCCAGTAGCATGTTGCAGGAGTCGTTGCAGTGGCGCGAGGAACACCGGCTCGATGACATTCTCAGCGAGTACAAGACCCCGGTGGTGGTGGAAAAATATTTCCCCGGAGGATGGCACCACCACGACAAGGACGGTCGACCGCTGTATGTCCTGCGGTTGGGAAACATGGATGTGAAGGGTTTGCTCAAATCCGTCGGCGAGGACGAACTGTTGAAACTGGTAGGTTTGTCTAATATTCTTAAATCTAGTACTCGGTCATTACGACGTGATGTACATATAAATCTATTCTGCCGATTGATTCGGCACTAAACAATGCAAACATGCAATTCCCAGGTCAATCACTTTCCGCATACTTAATTGCATACTGTATAATGGGACTCGTTTTCACTGAGTAATAACTAACATGCCGCAGCAACAGTTTACTGCAATCGCGACCTTCTGCTTCCGCCTTTGTTTTTACCTATATGTTCGTTCTATTCTGACTGCATTTTACGCCCACACTGAAGATAGTCTATACATACTCATACACCAATCCAATGCAACATACACTGATTGCGATTCTGCTGCTCCTCTCTTTCAGACGCTGCACATTTGCGAGGAAGGTTTGAAGCTCATGAAGGAGGCTACAAAATTTTTCGGAAAACCAATTTGGAATTGGTGTCTGTTGGTTGACCTGGACGGACTATCGATGCGTCACCTCTGGCGACCGGGAGTGAAGGCACTGCTGAGGATAATCGAAACCGTCGAGAAAAACTACCCGGAAACCATGGGCCGGGTGCTGATCGTGAGGGCACCACGTGTGTTCCCGGTCCTGTGGACCATCGTTAGTGCGTTTATCGGTACGTTTCGGTGGTACTCGGCGATCTATTCAGCGAAATTAATGCCTCCTCGTCTATTACACAGATGAAAATACCCGTTCAAAATTCTTATTCTTCGGTGGTCCGGATTGCTTACACATCGAAGATGGATTAGAGCACTACATACCAACGGAAAAGATCCCTAGCTTTCTGGGAGGATCCTGCAATGTAAGTACTAACAGTTCTGTGAGGGAGACAGTACTTGTACAAAATAAATTAACCAACTTTGAATACAACAATCCCCCAACCGAATGCCAGCAGTGGGACGAATAAATTACCCAACGCACCGTTCTCGGGGAACTGTTGTACTTTTTAAAAAAATACTGTCGAAAACTTGCATTTTGTGTAATTCTATCTTCTTTTCAATCTTTTTCTCCGACTATCGTTACTAAAAAACACTACCTTCGACTATCTTTTGTGTACTAACTATCCCATCCCTTCCTATTATCTCTAATGTACAAAACTCTGTATATCTTCACTGTCACTTCTACTACAACACTCGTGCTGCGTGCACTGGCTGCAATTATTGTGTACATGCAGCCACCAAGCATTCCGGCAGTGGCGGAACCGGTGCCATCCAAATTGTACACACGATGCTTTCTGAGCGCGTGTCACTGTGTAAGGAATTCTGATAACTGGATCACATTTTTTTTGTCTCTTTATCTTTCACATTCACACATCCGCAAGCGAAAAATGTTGATCACTTCTTCACAACGCAACACCTCAGACCACCCTAAACACCAGTGGGGAATGTAAATAAATTGGTGATCCTCATAATCAATCAAAAGTACATGTATGTTGGTAGCACTGTGACAATTATGGCTATCGAAAGTGCCGGTTTGGGGTCACAAAATTCACACAAATTAATCCACGTATCATTACGTCATCGATTGAATCCTCAAGTCTAGATAGAGCTGGAATTAGGGCCTAACAGCTTTTTTAAACAATGACTTCTCTCGATGATTTATAGGAATTCAAGGCGCGCCCACGCAAACAAACATAACCATCAAATAGGGCAAGGCTTCCCCTACCTAATGGTGATATTGAGTCATTGTTTACAAAAGCTGTTACGCCCTAATTCCAGCTCTATCTAGAAGTGATTTGTGAAGTCGCATGACTGAAGTGCCAACATTAAGCTGTCTAGAAACACTACGACTTGGATAAATCTCGCCATGCAATACAAAAATATGGATTATTCGAACACCGTTTATTTCATATATATAGTTCTTATAGTTCTTTGTTAGCTAAACAGCCTCACATTCCTAAAATTCAAGCAAAATTCCCTTATTGAAGTTTTGAATGACATTTATCCAAATAAAGAAAAAAATGGCCAGATATGAAGTCAGAGGACAAGCAGAAAACAATTGCGATGTTTGAATTAAAGAATGCAGGGTTAACTACCCCATTTCCGGCCTATTCAGCAAAACTCACACTAATTCTTTCTTAATCTAGCGAAGCTTAGCACCAAACGGAATGTTATTATTACTGATGGCTTCCAAATGTATTTACTTTTCTGTACGTACCGTAAGATTTGATAAAGAGAAACCAATCGTTGAGATATTGTTAAAAATCTAACACTGCTTCTTGACGCCAAACTCGGCCTACGGATTCTAAACTAGGCCTAACGCATTGAAACGCCAATGAATTCACTTCGGCCTATCGGATGAAGATAAAGATTGATTCGGTCGGAGCGCTTCATTTGTAATTGAGAATATTGGATGCAAACATTCATATCGCGCGTTCATATTGACTTCGTTCGGTAGCATTTGAAGTAAAGTATCCTACCAAACGCATAATTTACCTGATAACGCTGAAATCATGGATTTATTTAATGTTTTCTGATTGATAGGCCCAAAATGGGCGCTTAGGCCGAAGTAGTTCTGTCCCTACTTTATCTCGTAATGTCGTCAATATGGATTTGGGTTGAGGAAATTGTAAAGAATCAGTTGGACGTTAGACTTAAAAGTGCTACTGAAATATTTACTAAAGGGTGTATTCGTTAAAAATAGCACACACATATTTACTCATCAAAATTAAACCGATTATCAGATTTTCTTGAAATTTTCAGGGAATGAAAAACTATTAATGAGTTATGATTTAAAAAATTGTTTTATTCTATTCCGTCTCCCATCCCACCTTCCTTTTTGCGAAGTTCCGTCTTCATAATTGCCCAGAATTATTCAATTGGGCGAAGTTCCGGTGGGTCACAAAAATGAATCCGTTGGCTCGGTAACACTCCAACACGTTTCGAGCGTAGTGACAAGATGCTAGGTCAGGCCAAAACAGAGTTGATCCTTTGTGCTTCCTTATGAATGGCAAGAGACGCTTCTTAAGGCACTCTTCCGTGTAAATCGCACCGTTGATTGTTCCGGAAGTTATGAACGGAGCGCTTTTTTCACCACATCCACAAATCGCCTGCCAGATCAGGAACTTCGATAATTTCTTCTTTCGAACATCCTCCGGAACATCGAACTTAGACTTGGCAACGAAATATTCTTACCCAGGAAGTTGACGGAAGTCGGCCTTGACGTAAGGCCGCGGCCAGGGTAGACGCGACACGCGACGCGACGCGATGCGTCTCACGCAAGAAATAATAATAAATAATAAGATTCTTTTGAATTGGTCGCGTCGCATCGCGAAACGCGTCTACCCTGGCCGCGGCCTAAGTGTTGCAATTTGATGAGCAACTTCGTGTAAAGTTTCCGGGCGCTGGATTTCGCAGTAATGTTTTGCTTTTTATTCCGGTTTGGGGCTTCTTGCACCTTGTAACCCAGCACGCTACATGGTTTTCTGCACAAAACCGTCTGGCACCTTGAACTTTTTAGTGACACCTCGAATTGAAATGTTTGGACGGTTCTTGAACTATTGCACCACTTTCCTGGACATTTGACTGTCCATTGGACCACTTTTACGACCACTCCCTTCCTTCCTTCGGGCACTCAGACGCTCCTTGAAGGTTCTTATCACACGAGCCACAGTTAAAGGGTGATACGGTCAAAATTTGGTCAAGGGAAAACGCGTGTAAATCGGTGAAATCGTTTATTTAAAAAATCAAATTAAATTTATTTTTCAAGTTCAATTAGTATAAAATTCAGGAAAAATATTCAGTTAGGCTTCCGCTTTTCAAAATCCGAATTGCCGGACCTTACGCTTGACCCCATGCCATCAGATTTTGTACAGCCACCTTGTCCACCTTCTTCGCCGCAGAAAGCCAGTTTGCCTTGAACTGCTGCTCGCCCTTAGCAGTTTTTTTGGTCTTCTTTAGGTTCCGCTTGACAATAGCCCAGTATTTCTCAATTGGGCGGAGCTCTGGCGTGTTGGGAGGGTTCTTGTCCTTGGGAACCACCTGCACGTTGTTGGCTGCGTACCACTCCATGGCCTTTTTACCGTAATGGCAAGATGCCAAATCCGGCCAAAACAGTACGGAACAACCGTGTTTCTTCAGGAAAGGCAGCAGACGTTTATTCAAACACTCTTTCACGTAAATTTCTTGGTTGACAGTCCCGGAAGCTATGAAAATGCTGCTTTTCAAGCCACAGGTACAGATGGCTTGCCAAACCAGATATTTCTTTGCGAACTTTGACAGTTTCATGTGCTTGAAAACATCTGCTACCTTTCCCCTTCCTTTTGCCGTATAAAACTCCTGTCCCGGAAGCTGCTTGTAGTCGGCTTTGACGTAGGTTTCGTCGTCCATTACCACGCAGTCAAACTTCGTCAGCATCGTCGTGTACAGCCTCCGGGATCGCGCTTTGGCCGTCGTATTTTGTTTATCATCGCGATTTGGAGTCACTACCTTCTTGTAAGTCGATAGTCCGGCTCGTTTTTTGGCTCGATGCACGGTTGTAGACGATACACCCAGCTTATTTGCGGCATCTCGGAGAGAGAGGTTAGGGTTTCGCTTGAAACTACCGGCAACTCTCTTTGTCGTCTCAGCGGCTTCCGGTTTTCGATTTCCCCCCGATCCAGACTTCCTGGCTGTCGACAAACGTTCCCCAAACACTTTAATTACATTTGTAACGGTTGATTTGGCAACTTTTAGCGATTTTGCCAACTTTGCGTGCGAGTAGCTCGGATTTTCGCGATGCGCGAGCAAAATTTTGATACGCTGCTCTTCTTGCTTGGACGGCATTTTGACAACTGAAGAGTGAATTCCAAAATCAAAATAGGAGCAACATTCTACACACACACACCTTCAAAATGAGGGGTGTTCAGGTTTTTTAAATGCAAAATTGAAAGAAATACGTCAAGTTGATATTGACCAAATTTTGACCGTATCACCCTTTAGTTAGTTATCTTTATTAAGGAGACTTTCAGCCGAACGCTGGTTCGTTTCAGGGAACCCCTGAAGGGGGTCCTCAAGTCACAAAGTTGAAAAATTGAGGAGTGCCAATAGGGGACACTTCTAAAAAGAGAGGGAGGGTTCCTGAGAGGAGTTTCTTGATATAGAAATGCTGTCTTTTTATGCTGTTTCAGCTGGTGGGGGTTTCTTAGGGTGGTTGACAGGGGAAAGTTCAAGTTCGTAGCGATGGTCGTGGTTATTGAAGGTGTTCGTGATGGTGTTAAGCGGTGGTTGTTTCTATCCGCGGTATGCTGTGATGACTCTATCGAGTGAAGTTATTTCTCGCGGAGAAAGGCCAATAGCGCAGCGGAGAGATACCGTTTAGGTCTCTGGCTCCTTGGTATTGTGGGCAGTGGCATATCAAGTGCTCCACCGATTGATGGATCTGGCATATTGGGCAACGTCGATGGAATTCGCCATTCCCAGCAATGTTGTGCGACATTCGAGTGTGTCCTGAACTCAGTCTAGACAACACCACTTGAGAACGGTGACCAGGTAGGTCTTCCCATCCGTGCGTCTCTCCTTTTATCTTACGGATGAAAATACCTCTTCTGCCTAACCAGTCCTTGCTCCAGTTTTCCCATGTAATTTTTAACAGCCAATTTATTAAGTCTGGACCTGGAACTTCGCTTGTCAGTTTGTTCATTAGTCGACCAGAAGAGGCGAGGTGGTCGGCTTCAACGTTACCCTGGATGCCGCAGTGGCCAGGTATTCAGGCAACGGTGGTGTTGGGTGGAGCGGACTGGATGATGGCCTGGATCCACGGGTGTGTGGGGTACTCGGCGTCGAGGGCGGCTACAACGTTGGCTGAATCCATGAAGAGCACGATGGGTTTATTAGACGTCGTGGTGATGGCGTCGTAGTGCAGTGCACTGGTCGGGAAGACTGTGACATATACTTATTTCGCGGCCAGATATCCCAATTCCGGTTCTACCTTGTGCGACAGAACCATCGCAATAAAGGGTCCTGTGATTTTTATATCGACGATTTATAAAGTCCATGTGTGACTGGTTCACGGCGAGGGTGTTAAAACCTGCTTTAAAATTATTCTTCATTGTCGAATCGATTGAAATTTTGGGCAGATTCCAACCCCTGGCTCCACACCAGTGAACCGTGCACACTGAGGGTAGCGCCTTGTTGGCTGTGCTGGCGAGGAGCTGGTTTGCCTCCTCTAGGAGGAACACTCCGTCGCTCGAAACAGTAGTTTTTTTCCAGACACCCGACGGTTCGGCGGCAGATGGTGAGTGTGATGAGACGGTCGAAGTGGAGGACACCTCCT